TCATGATCTAATCGCAATATTTGATGATCTCATAATGAAAAGACCTTTGTAAATATATACATTTTTTAAGTGTTATGAAAAAGACAACAATCAGAGACTCGGAATGTCAACACACATGCAGTAACTTAATTAAACTCCTGCCATCATGGCTTTAAAAAAAGCATTAAAAGTCATTTAGGTTGTTGCAGTTTCTTTTTTGGTGTGTTGGGAACTAGATCACCACCCTTCAAATGAGATTGTGCATGGGGTGTATCCTAATAATAAATAACTTTTCTTTACATTTTTATCTACTTTAGCAAATTTAATTTTGTGCTAGTTTGCAACTGGCAGCATGCTGACATGCTGAAGTGAGATTGTGATGTTCTTGCATTTAAATGCTTGAATGTTTTCTTTGCAGGATGAGAGATCAAAATAAAGAGGAGCAGTTATGTGAGGCTGTGGATAGCATCAAGGAGAGCGCTCTCAGTGGTGCTTAATGGAGTAGTTTTGGGGGAATTGCTGTTTAAAACTGGCCCCTGGGCTCAGAAGATTACACATGAAAGAGAGGGTCATTTTGATAATAGTTCTTTCAAAGCGGTTCTTGACTGCAACAATGAGACTTAGCAAGATCAAAAAAGTACGAACACTTTATAAGAGTAGAGGAGCTACTAAAAGCACACAACAGCCTAAACCCATTCACAGTGTTAACTGAGTGTTGTTTTTTGCCCTGACTCATGCTTCTTATTAAGTGCACCTGCTTAAAACCCTGTTTGCCTTTAGAGCTGCTCAAAGTCTCTTAAATCACCTTTCTGATGCTCATTTAGAAACTCATGTTGCAGTTTGAACTGGATTAAACACCCTGATTATTAATTTTCAGTTGGAAGAATGAAACACCTGCACTCTGTCTGCAATTACTTGGTCATCTCCAGTGAAGGTGAAAGATCAGAAGGGTTATGACGAAACAAACCTGACCTCTCAACTGGAGCCACTTCTGACAGTGCACGGACTATGCTGTCTTTGCACCTTTGTTAAATGTAGCATTTAGATTACTTCTGAATCACTGAATGTTGTTTTTATGTTACACCGTGAGCCCCAAAAAGCCACGTGGGTCTGTACTCCTATGACAGGGGTAGGGAACTCCAGGCCTCGAGACCGAGTGTCCTACAGGTTTTAGAAGTGTCCTTGATCCAACACAGCTGGTTTCAATGGCTTAATTACCTCCTCAACATGTCTTGAAGTTCTCCAAAGGCCTGGTATTGAACTAATCATTTGATTCAGGTGTGCTGACCCAGGGTGAGATCTAAAACCTACAGGACATCTGCTCTCGAGCCTGGAGTTCCCTACCCCTGTCCTATGAGATCACAGGAGGGGCCGTAGGGGTTTGGCGCTTAGTGGATTGGGTGGCAGTTAGAGGCAGAGGTCTTGGCCCCCCAATCTCTGGCCTCCAAAATTGGCTTGTGGTGCATGGGATGTCACCTCACTGGTGCGGAAGGAGCCCAAGCCTGGTGTGTGAGGTTGGGAGTTAGCAAATATATATATAGTCTGGCTCATCTCAATGCATAGCTCAGGCTCTGGAACCAGTGTTCAGGAGAGGGGTTAGACTCTGTTCCACTCTGGAATTCACTGGCTGTATATTAGGATTTACCCCAGTGGATTAGAGAATTGCTTACCTGTGCCTTCAAGTCGGGAAACAGGTCCTGACTATCGATGGTGCCTATACACCAAATGACAGTTCAGTTGTTGTTGTCTGTGTTTTTGCATCTTATCTCCCACCTGAGACAAGGACGGCATGACGTTTCAGCCGTGGTCATTTGTTCACCAGCAGCTGTACGCAGCAAAGGAGATCCTCGAACAGCAGGAGAAAACAATCACAGAAGTACTGCATGAAGCAGAAGTTAATCAACTCTAATGATGAGGGGGAAAGTCTGCGACACCAGAAATCTGGTTCAGTTCTTTAAATTGTTTTTCTAGGCGTATCGAGTGGAAGCTTTATAACTAACTATGGATGGTGCTACACACATGCACACACAGTCGACGTACATAGTACCAGAAAGCTACACCGCTGCTATAACGAAACAAATAAAAACATACAAGTAAAATACTCACAAAGCATTTTTGCGATGTTGGTGGTAAGACTTCTTACCGGATGCATGGACTCCAGATTCATAAAAAAACACGCACACACACATTAGTGTGCCAAGAAAGTGGCAAAACACTTCACCGCAGAGATAATCTCACTGTGCGTGTGAGGACCCAATCTGGGGAGAAACGTACCACTGTGGAGAGTGTGGCAGACTTTTTTCTGCAAAGCAGTCGCCTGAAAATACAAATGAGGTACCATTCAGGAAAACAAATGGACCCTTGTGATGTTTGCAGACCACACATGTGGAAGAAAAGCCTTACACCTGCAATTTTTGTAACTACAGTACTCTCTTTGCCTCTAGCTGTAATTTTAATTTGAACTAAGCAAATGTGTTAAGTAGCTGCAGAATAATCAGTATGGTTTTCTGTGTGAATGAACTAGATTTAACTAGAGGAGTGGTAATACAATAGTATTACAAACTATTCCACCATATGAACCTGAAATCTGTGGAAGAGCTGAGCTGTGCAATGGTAGAAAAAAACAACGAAATTTGAATTTGTGTGTAAATTTGTGCATTTTTGTCTTTTTCTTCTCCAGACTGAGGCTGCTGACACTTAATAAAGTCTGACACACAAACACAGTCATGTTAACAGCTGCATTTTGATAGACATTTCAATATCAGGTGTATGGATCTGATACAGAGGAGTTTTAAAAAATGAACTACATGAAAACTGCTGTGAGTGCACACTGCTGAGAAAAGACCCACAGAGATTCTCACAGAGAGTCGGTTCAGCAAAGTTTGCTGCAAACCTTACTACACCCCGTTTTATGTTCATTTAAACATTCCCTTGCCAAATATATATGTGCTGTGAAGTACATCGCTACAAATACATATGCAGTAAGGCCAGCCAGCATGCTGCATCCATGCTTTTCAGACCCAGAGCTGATGCTGCACCTCGTTACTAAATCCAACAGTGGCTTTTTGATGATAAAAGAGGCTTTTTCTGAGCCGTGGACACACTGTATTTAGATTTCCCTTCAGACCCTGCAGGGGAGGTCTGCATACAAGATGCATGCAGACAACCATTTAGCTCTGCACCACCACAAATCATCATGTACTTTGTTTTTCTTCTTCTGTCAGATGTTCAAAATACAATATTGAAATATCAGTCAGATATCTGTCCAGTACTCTGAGCTGTCAGACTTTGACATGAAAAGCATCAGAATTCATAAGATAATAAGTAAAGGTGAGAGTGCATGCAGCTATCCCTTAAGGGGGGAAGTAAGAAGATAGAGCTGATGAAGATTCGGTTTAGTTTTATTTATATAACCCCAAATCACAACAACAATCGCCTCAAGGTGCTTTATACTTAAAAGACCCTATGGCCCTCTGTGAGCAAGTGTTTGGTTACAGTGGGAAGGACAAACACGTTTTTTATGGAAAGAAAACTCCAGCAGAACCAGGCACAGGGAGGGTCAGCCATTTACTGAGACTGGTTGAGGGTCAGATAAGGGAGGACAAAAGTCACAACGTGGAAGAGAGCCAGAAAAATTATAATAACTAATGATTAAATGCAGAATGGTGTGTTAACACCAACTCAGAGAAAGTGACTGAAGAAGAAATGAAAAGTGCATCACTGGAAGCTCCCAGAGGCCTATTGCAGCATAACTGAGGGAAGATTCAAGGTCATCTAATCCAGCCATAACTATAAGCTTTATCAAAATGGAAAGTTTTAATCCTAATTTTTAAAGTAAAGAGAGTGTCTCTCTCCCAAATACGAACTGGGAGTTGCTCCATAAAAGAGGAACCTGAAAGCTGAAGGCTCTGCCTCCCATTTTACTTTATCCTATCGAACCAGATGATGTTATGTTCCTAAAGTGAATTTGACATTTGATCATACTTGCTCAGTTGTAGCTGAATTGTAACAGAGAAGTAAATCACTCAGGGCACAAGAATTTTCTTAGACACAATGTTCATTCAACAACGCTGCTTTAACCTCCTGGGACCTGGCGTCCACATATGTGGACATCAGATTTTGGGTTATCCAGAGCAAAATACTAAATTTTGCTCTACAGGGGCCTGATCTCCACTCGTGAGGACATTGTTCTGCCACTGTCCTATCAAAATTTAAAGCAAATGTCCTCATATGTGGATCTCATTTTTCTCAGAAACAAAAATCAGGTAAAAAAAAAAATAAAATAAAATAAATTAATTCTTTCTTTTGACATTCATCAGGTCCCAATCAGCCCAAATAGAAATGAAAAATGCATGCCATGAAAACGTTTGGGTCGTAGGAGGTTAAGTGAGCAAATAATGAGTTCTGCTGTTTTCCCAACAGGTGGCAGCAGACACTAAATTTAGGACTGATGCACCATGTCGCAACACTGTTGTTTTATAGGCGGTCCGTGCCTCAACACTTCAAGCCTTTAAGACCCCAGTTACTTATAATTAATGATTGTCAGTGGATTACCCGAAAAACTATATTAAGCTAGCACCCACCCTTTGTTTGTTTGCATGTTTCAGCACAGGACCCAAAGGTTTATGCAATAACTGATATCTGAAGCACAAATAATAATAATAGTAATAATAATAATAATAAAAACAATACAACCGTCGAGCACAAATACAGCTGGCAACCTAAAAGCAGTCGCGGGAAATCAGGTTATTGCCTCCCGTTTAATCCTTCTCTTTCTAAATGTATATTCCTTTAAGTCACACAAGCACAAACCCAATGATGCAAATCATTAATATGGAGCTTTAAAAAAACAATGTTAATGATTTAAGTCAATTAAGTAATTAGTGAATTAATTAGAAGGGAGTCATGAAAAGTTTCCTGTTTGCACGCACAGATGAAAGCGGGGCTTCAATGTTAGCTGGATTGCCATAAAAACAGTCTTTTGAACATTAATCCGGCGTGAATTTTCCAGGTCGCGCAATTACATAAGTCTGCGTACAGCGGGGACTGCGGTGTGGAGCGGAGAGGAGGGTTGAGCTCAGGCTCTGTTTTCACGCTGTGGGGCAGAGCAGAGAGGAGTCGTCACTCCGCCAACTGTTGGCCTCTGAGATCTAATCTGGATTACAGTTTGGTCCACTCTGCAGCCAGGACACCAATAATCACATTATTCTGTTTCGGCCTGACGCCTCCCGAAGCGGGCGGAAGTGGCGATGTCAAGTCGTGGCACCGCCGCTGGCTTGCTTGTCTCTCAAAGCTGAACTGCGCGTTTAAACGCCAGTCATTTGTTCTCGGGAGTTTGGATGGTTTCCCCAGCGAAGGTGATGTGAATGAAGTTGGGTGAGCGTTCCTGCGGTAGGTGGTTGGCTGGGTGGCGTGAATCCCCGTGTGCAGAGCACGCACTCTGCAGCACATCCAGACCGATCACTGCAGCCTGCGCTGGAAGCGCAATAAATTACTCTGGACCTCACCCAACCTCTGCCACTGATATATTAGAGGGGCAGATGGTCAGTCATGGCACGTTTAGGTAAGTACTAACGCATTGCTGTTTTTTTTTTGTTTGGGAAAAATCTCTGCCAGTGCAATAGAATAGATTATTTTACTACCAAAAAATCAGAGTTGTAGGATTTTGTCTTGAGACACTGATTTTCTCGTCCTCATCATGCTCTGGTGAATTTGGTGTGTTTTGAAATAGCTCTACTTATCAGCGGGGAACGGTTTAAAAGCTAAAAAACAAAAAAGTTTTGAGGGAGGATGTGCTCCAACAGACTCTTTAAGCCCCTGAAGTATTATCTTAATAACCTGCTTCAGTTCAAGTCCACTGATACTTACCTTGTGATACCCAAACAAACACCACCCAGTGCCAAATGTGTCACCGTGGTCAAATGGTTGTTTGAGGGCAAGATTAAGAGGCACAGGGATGGCATGGAAATAAAGGTGCGTGATGCCAGCCTCTAGGGCCAGTCCTCAAATGATCCCAGGTAACAGTTAAATCTATTTATTTTAATGAATTAAATCTTTCTCAGAAAAAAATAACATTTGAAATATTATTTTGTCTCCTCTTTATCCGATTCCCCCCACTTAATCCAGGATAAAAAGGCCAAGAGGAGGACAGAGCAGGGGAGACATGACACTTTGGCAGAATTCAAAACCGTGTTGACGTCAGGGATAAAAGTGGGACTCTCTGCTGGTGCCATCATTATTCCCTCATTAATCCATTCTGACTCATATGTTGCTGTCTGCTGATTGGAAGAATATGCTGGAAGAATATATCAAATGCACATCATTTGATATCGCTTTCAGTGTCAAACATGAACTTTGTCATCTCAGCTGTATGCAAGTGTGCAGAGAGATGGAACTGCAAATCTCGGAGACCCCAGTGAACACATAGTGCAAATAAAACAAAACATTTTGCTTCAACATGAAGAACAGTGCAAATACTAAATACGCACAAGTAGGCAATATGCTCCTAAATTTAAACTAAATGATGTGGTTAATATTTACAGAGAATATAGGACGATGGTTGAATTGACCAAACGACCAATGTTCTGAGTGTATGGGCAGGTATAAATGACGTGTGCAATACAGAAGCTTAACCTGAAGACAGAGTCTGAACTTACAGACCTATGAAATACGACATGTGCATTCTTAGAGTTCAGTGTGTGACTTTTTCCATCAGTGTCCTTGTGCGTGAGTATAAGATCTTTTAGCTTGTGACATTTAAAAAAAACCCACATTTATAGAAAGTTTTCAGGTCTGATAGTTTGTCACGGTTAAGCCTTCACACTGAAAGGCTGGGAGTCGCTCAGCTGTTGACAGCTTTTTAATGCCAAGAACTGCATTTTCAGTTATCATTTCTCTATTATTTTCTTAACAAGCTACTAAACTGTTATAAAAAAGGATTTATTGCTGTCTCGGTTTCTTTGCATTTTACTTTCTCTTACAAAATGAGCTTGTTTCCTTTGAACCGTGTTTTTAGTTCTTTTTTTCTGCTCATTATTTCTTTCCTGTGACAGAAAAAATGTTGGTGTGTAGATTCTAATTTTAGCTTCTAATCCTTCATATTTTTTTCCAGAGGAATATCTGCTCCACTTTCCACTCCCAAACGACAAACCAAGAACACGAGGTCTAGGCTTGCCTGTATCTTTGTCTCCAGTCCTCTGAGGGTTACACCTCCTCACTCTTACTTGTGCAAAATTGCATCCACAGTCCTGCCTGGAAAGCTGCCAACTCCCTGCTGACTCTATATTCCACTGAGCAGCGGAGGTTTTCCTCCCCCTGTCAGCACGAACTGATCCAAATTGACTTGCAAGTGGAAATTGATTAGGGTAATGCAGTACTGTCTAGGGCAGCTTAAGCACTCAAAGAGCAGCACTTTTGGTTAATTAGATTTGACAAGCAGCCCAGCAGCTTGGTGCTAAAATTAATATCTCGCCGTATGAGCGTCATGCAGAGACACAGAGAGATTTGGTGGCACCCAAAGCAAGTTAACCGGTTTCTTTTTCAGGCCCTGAAAATTGGTTTCATCAAGATCATTTATAACACACAGAACCAATTACTAATCATGTTGTTCAAATTTTGCTTCTTATTTCCTTGCATGACTGTATTTGCTCACTAATAGCCGCATTTCTTAGTTTATTATGATGCAGATGAGCAGGGTCACATTACATTGCTCATAAAGCTTGACTGATACTGCAGATCACACTGTGTTGTGTGTGTGAGCTAGTTTATGGATAAATGCACTTGAAACTGACTGATTCATCAAATGCAACTTGTGCCCTGAGTGATTTAGTTCTCTGTTACAAAAGCTTCTTTAATCAGGAAGATTACAGCCGTTTGATGTGTTGACTCTCAGTGAATTAAACTGTACAGTCTGCCTGGCAATGATATATGCTCGTGATTGATTTAAAGGGTTTTTAACCTCCTAAGACCCGAACTCTTCCACGACATGCATTTTTAATTTCTCTTTGATATTTGGGCATATTGGGGCCCGATGAATGTAAAAACAAAGAATTACCAGATTTTTTTTTTTTACCTTACTTTTGTTTTTAAGAAAATAAGAGCCACATCTGAGGATATTCATTTAAAAGACGAAGGAGAAGGTGCAGAAAGGACTGAGAGAAAAAACAAGTGACAAGAGAAAGGGGAAAGAAACTTTCAAAGGTTTGGAAGAGTGGAACAGAGAGAAAGGAAATAAAGGGCAGGTCAAAGTAGTGGATTTAAAACTATATTTTCACTGTTTTTTTCAGGGTCCAACACAATGGACTGCACCCACCCTGAGAAGGATTTTCCAGTTGTCCATGCAGTTACAGTCTCTCATGCATTCGTGTCTCGGAGGGCTACAACTCCATCTTTTTGACCACATCCTCATCTTAGCTCCTCATTAACAACCATCATGGAGGACAGCAAGCTGATCTTCAGTCTGGACCGCCATGAGGAGGGTCCTTCTGTGACCTTTTCCAAAGACAAACCAGAAAGCAGGGAGAGCCGGCCTGAACCCAATTTGTGGATCAATCTGGACCTTAGCCAAGGGCAACGCTCCCAGCCTCTCTTCCTGCCTCACTCCCCCTCTTCCCCAGGCTCGTTAGCTGATCTATCAGAATCATCAGCAGGTCTGCCTGTCACCACCAACCTAGTGAAATCTTCCTCCACGGATCTGGAGCCAAGGGAAAGCAGCTCTTTAAGAAGCAAGCCCCTCCTCAGTCTGGTCAAGTCTCTCAGCACAGAGATCTCCCGCCGTGTAGAGCCCGAGGTCAACCTCTCCAAGTCTGACTCCAAGCTACATTTGCATCCTTTTAAGCAGCTTACATATCCAAAGATACTGGAGGCCAGACCTGAAACAGGAGGAATGGGTGAGAACGACGCCTGGGTTTCACCTCCCTCCACGGGCAGCATGTCTCCCACGGAGCCACGGGGCAGTTCCCTTATCGCCGAGCTGGAGGACACGCGGCGGAAGTTCTCGGAGGCCATGCAGGACCCACTGAGCATGCTGAGTAAGATTATGGGGGATGAAAGCTCTGGAAGCCCCAAGCAGGGGAGGACTTCTGGTGCAGGAGAATCACCAGCCCCCCACAGCACTGGTGGAAGAGATGGAAGCAGCGACGAAGCAGGCCTCAGGTGTCGGAGGAGGACTGACGGTGAGCACAAAGGGGTGTGTGACACTGCTGTCAGACGACTCCAAAAGGATTCATTAACAAAATCCTCCATCTCCCCAGAACGGCACACCCTCAGCAGAGACAAACATTTGGAAATCTGCACCTATGGGATATGATTCAGGTGGTGGAGCGCCAGAACAGCTCCAGAGAGACACATCCTAGAACTTACCCTCAGTGTCAAGTGACAGTGCCGGGTTCATCTTTGCCTCTTTACTGGCTCTTTCCTGTGGGCCTTCTAGCTTATGGTTTCTTTGTCCTGCCTCTTCCTCCCTACGTGACAGGTCTGTCAGTGGGGGTTGCATGTGGCTTTATGCTGGGCTTGGTACTGGTGTTCATGTTTGCCCCACAGCGCTCAGCCGCCAAAAGGAACTGGGTCTTACTAGCAAACTCAGTGCCGTGAATGACAATCCACTGGACGGAGAGCTCGCAAATCTACACAACCTACAGGTAATAAATTAGTTTTAAAAATTACTCTATACATGAGCATAGAAGAAGACTAATCTAAATGTTACCTCTAAATCCGTATGCAGTCAAACTGTGGCAGATCAAGACGACAGATACCCAGGAGGACTGTTGTTTTCCCTCTAAATGAAATTGTGCAGGTCAAAGTTTGTATCGCCACAATGAATCTGTTTTAATAGCTTTCCACCTGCTTTAATTCTGCTTTGTGTTCATTTGCAACCATTAATATGATAAAGATTATTACAGCATTTCCATCACAAACATGTTGCCGTTTAAAGAGCCATTGTTGTGATTACGCACACTCCGATCTGCCTCTGTATGCAAAATAACCTCTGCAGCCACTCCTTTTCTGTTTCCTCTTTTGCTAATTTGGCTACATGGAAATGCTCAAATGTTTGTTTTGCAGGATGAGAGATCAAAATATCAAAGATCAGCGGGCATTAGATAGCATCAAAGAAAGATAGTGCTTTGAATGGTGCTTAATGGAATCGTTTTTAGGTAATTGCTGTTTTAAAAGTAGCCCCTGAGGACCGATTATTATCCATGAAAGAGAGGTGCAGTCTGATAATAGCTTTCTCAAAGTACTTCTGTGTCAGTCTGACTAGAACAGTGATACTTAAAAAGATTTTAAAAAGACAAATTGTATCAGGATAGAGGGCCTACTAACAGCACACAATAGTCTAGACTCATCTGCGGTGTTAAGTGAGAGTTGTATTGTGCCCGGGCTCGTGTTTCCCCTCCTGCTGAGCTGTTTGTCACAGTTTGCACCATTTGCTGTGGATCTAATTTGCCACAGTACAATCTTTGCCTCCCTAGCCGTATTTAATGCTTAAATGTTAACTCTTGGTTAAATGCAGCCTCAATATTTGTATTTGTAGATGTACTTTAGTTTTACCAAGAAAACATAAAATGGTTTGTGGCTGCAGAGGTTTCTGCTTGAATCCTGTCCTTTTGGATTAAATGTTCTTATTACTCACTTTCAGGGCTGGATGAATGAGACCCACAGCTATGACCCTGAGACTTTCCACCCCTCCATCACACACTCTGTCTATGTTACACTGGAAGGCAGCCGGCTGCAACTAGCATACCCACGTGCCAACATCGCCCGGTGGGCTTCTTTCGACGAGACACCCCACAAAGCCGTTTTTCTGCGTTCACGCACTTACCAGCTGGCTAACTGTAAGGTCAGTTCATTTGTGAGAAAGCAAGCCTGCCTTTCAGAGGGACATTAGAACCACCTGAACCCCTTGCTCTTATTTCTCTGCGCCCACTGAAACAGTTATGACCAAAACTAATAAACCGGACCTCTCCGCTATCTCACCTGCCCACTGAGGCAAACTAAAGTAGCTCTCCCTGTATGATAACAGAGTAAAGTTAACACACATTCACTGGCAGTGCTTTCAGAGCATGTTGTATAAATGCAGATGGAACAGAAATGAAATGAATAGTTGGTCCTTCTTTTCAACATTTTTACTTCAGGTGTCTCTGGTGCCTCCTGGTTTGGCTCGTAAGAGGGTGTGGAACAGGAAGTACCCAATCTGCATCACTCTGGCTGAGGGGGAGGTAGGGGAGGAAAGCGTGGTTGAAGGGCAGGAAACCGAAGAAGAAAGGGAAGAGAAAAACACAGATCCCCACCAGCAGTTTCCCGTCACCCTCTACCTGTTTGGTCGCACTGGAAGAGAGAAGGAGGAGTGGTTCCAGCATTTTGTGTCAGCCTCTAGAGCCTTAGCCCAGACCAGTGTAAGAGATGAAGGAAACACAGGTAAGAAGACGACTTGGTTGAGTGATATGGAGAAATTCAGCTGGTTGCGATACTATATGTAGCCCGGAAAAGTCACCTCTTTCATTTAAAATACATGTACTACAAGTTACTCAATGCCAAATTTGCCTTATTCGATCATTCTTTCAGCAATATTTTTAGATTCACCAACTCTTTACTTTCAAATGTGTCACACAGAAACACTAAGCAGTGGAGAGACCATTAAAGAAAGCACAGAGGAGCTGCCTGATTTCCCAGGAGCAATGAAAGCAAAAACCCTATTGGACTACAGCTCCTACATGACTCAGCTAATGGGCTCAGAAAGTTGCAATCCCACCCCCAGCCCCTGCCACAGTGACAAGGGAAGCCCCTCGACTTGCAAAAAGGTCAGTGAACAAGCTTTAGATTGACTATCAAGCATCTCTCGAAGTGATGTAAACTTTAAACTTCCCGTCACTGTTTTTCAGGTTCCATTTAAATAGTTTTTTTTTCCATCGGGGGGAGATATAGCAGTGTTTCTTAGCCCTGTTTAACTCATGTCACAATAACCCACACTGATCAGAGCTGCTTTATATCCACTTTTCTTTTATAGTGTTCTCTGTGCTCACATGAGCCTTGTCCAGAATGCTGGCTCAGCTAAATACACCTGCTGACTGGACCAAATTTTTGTATTCAGCAATATCAGATATCATCTGGCTGGAAAACTATAAATAGTAACTCATTGGGACTGGAACATACTTGTCTGTGCTTCTAATGCTGAATTAGGTGGTTTGGGATTGGAACCCCCACAGAGGGACAGTCTGTTCAGATGTTTAGAGGAGGTGCCACAGAAAATGAGAGTGGTGTTTATTTTAGATGACAGTGCAAGTGCGTATTTTGTTTCTCAGTCCTATTTGGTCATTTTACTCCTGAAAAATGTTTGTGGAAATATATATGTCTCATTTTTTTTAAAAAATATTTCCTGCAGATTGACGCCAAAGAGCATGGTTCTGGAGGTCAGGGTGGAGCTGAGGCTGATGCAGGTACTGGGCCGGGGGAATGCTCTGCAGAGAGTGAGCCCACCTGGGTTAACTGTCTGGTGGGAAGAATCTTCTGGGACTTTCTCTGGGAGAAATACTGGGCCGATCAGGTGGCGCACAAAATCCAGAAGAAACTCAGCAAGATCAAGGTGATGGTGTATGAGAATGTGTGTAGGTTAGGTGTGGGGTTTTTTTGTTTGTTTTTTAGCAAACTAAAGGAAAGAGAAACATAAAAATCACATTTGGCCCCTGCATGCTACCAGAACTGCTGTGATGCATTACGCCTGTGGTTTACTGCTCTATAAGGGGACAAGTGCACCCCAATCATACTAGCAAACAAAGGTGCCAGATACACTAACCATAGGTTGGGTGTTGCTCATTCTATGCTGCCTTTCATGGATCACAAAAAGTTAGCAGTTGGCATAGGGGAGCTGAAAATGTTATTTATTTTTCGAGCTTAGTCAGATACCACAACATCAGCAGTGTCCCTGTGACTAATGATGTGGCTTCTTAAAGAGATGGAAACTAAATAAACTGTAGGACAGCCTGAACATCAGGTCAGAGGTCAAAATACATGACATTACTAATGGAGGAGAAAAGGAGAAAGGCACAAACGCTGCCTTTCTCCTTTTCTGTGTGTATGTGTGTGTGTGTGTGTGTGTGTTCCTGTCTAGCTATCTTTGTGAGGACCAAAATCTGCATTCTACTATACTTGTGAGAACCAACAGTCACTTGTGAGGACACACTCACTGGTCCTCACAATTTTGAAGGCCTTTTTGAGGCTCAAAATGTGGTTTTAGTGTCAGAGTTACAGTTGGGTTATGGTTATGGTTAGGTTTAAGGTAAGGGTTAGGGTTAGGCATTCATTTTTAATGGTTAGGATTAGGGGAAGGGGCTAGGAAAACCTGTCAATGAAGGTCCTCACTAAGATAGCTGAATGGGGTTGTGTGTGTGTATGTGTGTGTGAGAGAGAGAGAGAGAGAGAGAGAGAGAGAGAGAGAGAGAGAGAGAGAGTGAGTCTGCTGATAATGCACTCCCTCTGGCTCCCAGGGCAATGGGTGGGGAGTGCTTAGAGGAGCACTGATGGTCCTGCAGCATCCCATTGCTCATTGCATACACTCCTCTGTGACACAGACCTTCTGTTTTTTTTCTCTTACACAGTCACACACATATTCACACAGTATAGTTTCCCCTGCTCGCTCATTTCATGGAGGTAATTAGCCAGCCTTGTAATACTTCTGCTGTGCTTTTGCCTGACTATATTTTAAGAGCTTTCTTTTACTGACGTGAATGCACCAAGACTCCCTTTGTCTCATTGTAGCTGCCGTACTTCATGAATGAGCTGACTCTAGCTGATCTGGACATGGGCACCTGCCTACCTCACATCCTTAGCACATCTAAACCTACGCTGGACTCCAGAGGTACACCATGGTTGTGTTCATATGCTTCCTTTGTCAAATACTTTCTAACGCACGCATTTTAACTGCATGCGAGGAGTAGCCAGACTTTACTGGTTACTTAACAGCGTATACCCAGATCTCTTTCTCAGTCGCATTCCTGCTGTGAGTACAGGCCAAGATCTCAATTGTTTCATTACTGAGTTTGGTTTGTCATGGCTGTCCTAAAAGCTTTCCATTGTCTCCCGCTGAAGCGATTAGCAATCCTCTTAGCCCGAGCTATCGTCGACCAACAATAACTAGCCAAAGCTATCATCCGCCAGTCTAATGTCCCTTCTGCACAACACCGTGCCAAAACGGATTAGGAAGAGAGACCAAACCAAACTCAGGGTTTTGAACTAATTAAGAATTCAGCTGCTGTAAGCTTTAAGCCCTTCCTTTTTCCCCCCACACCTTTATCCCCAAGGTCTGTGGCTACAGCTGGAGTTGGTGTACACCGGCTGCCTTCAGATGACCCTAGAGACAAAGATGAACCTGTGTAAGCTGGGTAAAGAGGGAGAGGATGAGGCTCACAGTGTACCAGAGACCCAGAAAGTGGGGTGAGACCCACTTTAGCATTTCAGTGTTTGCGAAGAAATGTGTTTTTAACCTGAGCAGGTTGATATGATGACTAGAACTGTTATGTTTTTTTCAGCTCTAAGATGAAGCTGTGTATACTGGCTGATAGTGATGAAGAGTCATCCAGCGCAGGGTCATCTGATGAAGAGGAGGTCCCTCCATCTGAGCTACACGGATGCGTGGGAGACAAGAGTCCTGTAATGGCGGCTGACGGGTAACTTAAAAACTTATTTAGAATTTTTCCACCTAGAAATATGAAGGCATGGTGATGACATTTCATCACTATGAGGTAGTCCCTATTGACTGTTCTTGGTCTTTATCCTTTACAGGCACGCAGGTGGCAGGACAAGCAGGAAAATCTTGAGATTCGTGGACAAGATAGCAAAGTCCAAATACTTCCAGAAAGCCACAGAGAATGAGTACATAAGAAAGAAGATATCTGAGGTTTCCAACATGCCCCTGATGCTGAGCGTTGAGGTCCTGGAGCTTTCTGGGACGCTGGCCATCAACATCCCTCCTCCTCCTACTGATAGGATATGGTGCTGATTCTCTTGGCTGTCTTACCACTTCACTGAATTTAATTACCATCGAGAAATTCAGTGCAAACTGCAGGTTTTGTTTCTTTACTCATTATACACCATGGTGATAGCCGCTCTCTTTCAGGTACAGTTTCCGGGTGCCTCCCAGGTTGGACCTTCATGTGCGTCCCATGCTGGGGGAGAGGGAGGTCACCTTCACTCATGTAACTGAGTGGATTGAGAAAAAACTGCAGTGTGAGTTCCAGGTCAGTCCATCAGTGTTTCCGTTTGCCCACGGGGATGATGCCGATTAATAATTCATGCATTTATGTTCTGACAGATTGATATCAGCATGAGCAGAAATTTCCTGCGTCTGTGACAGTAACGTTTAATGATTGCATTAGTAATTAAATATGGTTGTGTTGTCCTTTGTCTCTGAACAGAAAGTGTTTGTCATGCCCAACATGGATGATCTTTATCTGCCCCTCATGACATCTGGACTGGACAACCCACCCGCATCCCACCATTCCTCAATCCATTCCTCATCCCAGCAATCGTCCATGGAGTCTCAGGAGTACCTGTCAGAGTAGGCGCGGCTGATGCCTCAGATGCTGAGGCAAAATTGCTGATGTTCAGCTATTATCCTGAATCTCTAATGGATTCAGAGGCTGCTGCAGCTGGGTCCCAGCTTGAGTGGGTTCTCTGTTACCAGTGCAGGACAAACGTCTCCTGAAGCCTCGCTGAGCTCAGCAGTGACCTCCTGACTGTGAGAATGATGCTGCAGTGCCCCCTACTGTGAAGTTCATTACTGACAAGAGAAATGTTTTTTACAATGCTGACAACTGCTAACTGCACAAAATTAAAGGGTTATTGATGTATTTTTAAAAGGGAATGCTGTTTGAGCCAACTATCATCCATCCGTCCATCCATCCAGGAAAGAATAAAATTTGATGAAAACTTTCCTCATGTGTTCCTTATTGATTAGAAACACAAATGCAGTTAAAACACAAAATTCAAGTATAACTTACACATTTTATTGTTTTGTAGGGTTTATAATCCACACTTTCAGGCCTCCTCTGGCAGAGGACCTGGCATTGTTTTTTGGGTGTCTTTCTTCAGAGGCCCCTGCAGGTAAACAAGAGGTCGGGAGTTAAAACACAGCAGGATAATTACAGATTTTATTATGTCATCAGTGGATAGTTTGAACATTTGAATCATATTGTGCTGTTATTTTGCCTCACTCGATCAAAATCTTTGCTTCCTGGTATTCAGTTGGGTTTTTTTGGTTGTTGTTTTTTTCTTTATGGTTGTTTTTTCACACTCACCATAAATGCTCTCTTCTCCTGGGCTGTCTGGAAGCGCCCATGGCCAAATTTGGAAGTGGTGTCAATGAACTTGAGCTCGATGCCTTCCTTGGACTTGCGCGATGTGTGCGTGAGTAAAGACTGTGAGGAGGAGCAGCCAAAAACGTTAAACTACACTTACACGAATGATACCTGTAAGAGCTGAAGACTTTAAATTCCTCACCCTACCTTTCGAAGGGTGAGGACACGTTTTTTAGCCCCGATAATGCAGCCTTTCACCATGACAAAGTCATTATTCACTTCACCATAGCGAGGAAAGCCTCCCTATGACATAAATGTAGTAATAAAGGTTAAAATATCTCACCTAATGCAAACTCTTCATTTTATATTACTGTTGATACATTATAAATATAGACTTTGGATACGAGAAAACTTTCATGCACAATATGATACTGTAACACAAAGCTGGGAGTACTATGGGGGTAATGGTTTTCTGGCTGATGTCATAGTTAGTAGACGCATTGTTCCGGATCACTTTTCCATCCTGGATGTGAAGACCCCTACCAATACGGTAGATCTGAAAAAACAAAAGAGGACATCAAGATTTCAATTATGGAAAACCCCTCATACTAATAATAATAATTCATAATACTCCTTATTTAAAGAGATGTTTAGGCAACCAACAAACATTGACTAGGTGTGTGCAAATATAATATAGTAAGTTGTTAAAGCTATAAACCTTTTTGTTGATCTCAGTGCGGTGATGATAGCCTTTCTGACCAGCGCGAGCTTCAGTGTAGCCCACACGGGCAGGATGCCAGGCTCCAATACAAGCTACCTTCCTCAAACCCTTGTGAGTCTTCCGTGGGAGTTTCTTTGTGTGCCAGCGGCTTGTCACGCCTATCAGCCCAAAGACGTAAAAGTCATGGTTGGACCTTCCGGTTTATTACTCATTAAACTTTTCAACGCCTGGGGCTGCCACAGCACATTTCCTACCTTTGAAGCCGTGACCTTTCGTGACACCGATGACATCAATCATCTCATCCTGGTAGAAGACGGCAGATACGGGCACAGCCTGCTCCAGGTGCTCCTTCGCCCAGTCCACCTTGTCCGAGATGGTACCCCCATTTAGCTGCACCTCCACGACGTGAGCTTTTTTCTGCCTTAAGGGCAACAGTCGCATCTGGAGGCAAATGGAAAGTAATTAGGGAAGCCTGCAAGCTGCAAACAGAAGCAGCTCCCAAGTCTAAAACAACTATGTTGTTAAGTGCAGAGCTTGAGAAGCATACTGAAAAGCATCTTGCTTTCAAGTTACTATAATTAGATTTATTATTCAGCATGTGGCCATGTTTGAACTCTCAGATGTAACACCAGTCACTTGGAACAACTCTGATATTTAAATGTGCATGTTGATGTTTTTTTTCATGAGCTGAGGAGGCTTGATCTTAGCAGGATTTTAAGAACTGAAATCTTGGCTGATCTTTGGCTTCATGCTGCCAACATAAAGGCAAAGACTCTGTGAGTGGCCTTCATCCCCCGTGAAAATTATTTATAAACTGCTATTTGAAACTGCCCTCCAGTGCTCCCCACAGGTGATCGTTGTAGTCAAAGCCATCCAGCTACCGACAGCCAAGAGTTTGGGGATTTGGAGGCTTTTGTCTCTGTTGCATGTGGGCAGTTGGATAACTCTGACACCTCTGCCCCCTCCATGGGAGAGATTTAACAGAAGGAGATCAAGTAAATAAATATCAGTGATTATACTAGCCGATGAAATCAGATGGAAAACTAAAAACGGAGCTAATGTGATGCAGGATGGTGATTTTAGAACCTACCTGTGAGTGAACAATAACCCTGATGACTGAACAGTACTTCTTCATGGCATTGAAGTCTTTGTTAAGCTGCTTCTTGCCTGTCTCGTCCTGCCACTTCTTAGCATACTTAGTGAAGGCCTTCTTCTTGCTCTTATACCTGAAACACAGAAAAGCTCAGCACATATTGAAGGAACAACAGTGTGACAAGACCGTATGTGCGGGTCAATTACTTCTATGCACAGGAGAGCTTTAAATGATCACACACGCGTACCAGTTTTTATAAAATCTGCGCTTGCACTCGTCACTCAGGTGCTCAGCAAAGATGGTTTTCAGGGAGCGCAAACCACGGATCGTTTTGATGTATCCCACAACACCCACCACAATGACAGGCGGAGTCTCGATGATGGTCACCGCCTCAACTTCTTCTCGCTTTGATTGCTCTGTGGAAGACAGAAGGAGGCAGATCCTGCTAGGAAAACTGACAGATTCAAGTCAGTGAAACATGCAGCAAGTAAACAGAAGGTGATAAAAAGGTAAAAATATGCAAAACAAAAGAGACGTGAAGGAATGCATTTTAAGTTTAGCCTCAGCACAAAATCAAAGCAGCTTTCAGTTTTTAACACTAACAGCTTGAATGCAGCCTGAGCAATGCCCAGTTTATTCTTTCTGTATCATTTGATTTTATTCAACTTTCAATTTCTATTTACATCTCTAAAATAATGCATGCTATATACTAAATAGATAACAGATTGTCTAAAGTCTTGCATCCATCAATGTTTACATACTGAGGGCAGTGCGGTGCACCTCTCTCAGCGTGTGGGTCATGCCCGCCTTATATCCCAGGAAGGCAGTGAGGTGGACGGGATGGCTGGGGTTATCTTTGGGCCATGAACGCACCCTCCCCCTGTGCTTCTTGCTTCGCTTGCAAGGCAGGAACCCCATGTGCCCGTGGCGAGGAGCATGGAATTTGCGATGAGACTGAAAAGCCACAATGGAGTTGGTGCACGCCCAAATTGATGACATTTAGATAACCCATGGGTGTTTAGTGTTACTTTCATTTTTACAGTTACCATCTCCTTTTGATTATTTGTCAGGTCATAAACACATTGCCAGTGTACAACATAAGCTGATGTCCACACGTGTCCAGATGTGTACATTCGAATGTACACATCAGTGGTGGGAGACACCCACATCACTTTATACTAAAAGTGTAGCACACATTTACATAGCAAAACAAATTATTCATTTTAGTTACTGTATTATATGGTGACATCAGTCATGTTTTTGAGCAACTGTTTGTGATCATTTCCTCATTTTCTTTAACGTCCTCCAAATCTTTAACAGTGTTAAGTTAGCGGAACACAAAAAGAGTCATCTGTCATGATCTTCCAATCTGTTGCCTTTGTATTCAGGCCATGTGCTTCTGCTTCACTCTGTTTCTGTTTCATATCTGTAATTCAGAAATCCAAATAAAATAATTAAGAAAACTTGAAACGATGGTGTCTTGTTATAGGAAAAAAAAGGTCACCAGCGCAGTGTTCCACGTGCTCTCCTAAGCGTAGCCATTACTAGATTTCAGTGTGCTTCATACACTCTTATAAATTCAAAAGGTCAAAGAAAGTGATAAATCATCTCACACACACACACATGCACACATGTAGGAGGCAAAGACAGTCCAAAAAGTGCAGCTTTAACTATCCTCTAAAGAAGAAAACAACCAAAAACACAAGGAGCACTGACCATGTCTGCGGATTGTCCCAGCGACAGATAGAAAGAGACAGAAACCAGTGCAGATGCTAGAGTCATACATAAGATGACACACAGGGCTCTAATTTGGTGTTTGGCCCAGATGAGGGGACGTATTTGCTTTCAAACAAGACGATCTCTGCCAAGTCCTGACCAGATAGGAGGAGGGAAGATGGTAATGTCAGAGGTCTGAGGTGGTGGGGAGGCCTAGTGGACAGGAACCGTACAACCAAGAAAGGAGAGGAGGAGGAAGAAAGTCTTCGCTGCCATGTGATCATGTGACCAATGTTGACCTGATTTAGTTTTTTCAGCCCAGGACCACTCCACACCGATGAATTCAGAAACTCATGTCCTTAAGAAATTGAGGGGGCAAGGGGATCCAGTAAAGAGCTGACACAGGACCTGAGAGATGCATCTGGCCCTTCAGCTGACCCATCTACTTTTTGCTGAAATGGTCTCAGTGGAAGGGGTGACTGTCAAGAGGCTATTTTTAGTGAAGGTAAAAAAGGTTGAGGTATGCTGAAATACACGAGAACTGCACTAAAAATCTGTGGCAACAGGTCTGGAATAGCATAGAATCCAAATTTGAAATTCTTGTTCAAGTCAGGTTCAAATCTTGGTTCATCACAATAGACTGGATAGAAAGCTTACCTAAAAAAGTTCAGACTATATTAAAGAATAAAAGTTGTCATGCCAAGTACTGATGAGTACAAGTACTTTCAAGCACAATTTCCCATTTTCCTAGCAAAATATTGAGGAAAAAAAGGGCGGTTCAAGACTTTTGCATTCCAACTTAAGTTATCATAGTCGGCTCCCTGCCGCCCCCTACTGTAGCTAACTAGTACAACAGTCCAACCTGCAACCTTTACCCTTCGACCTTCATATTTTACGAAAACTGAAGTGAGCTCGTTCCAAGTTTTCTTTTAAGTTGTTTTTTATTTGTAATAATTCTAATTCAGTAATAAAGACTGGCATAAGGACGTTCGAACGCTTTTATTTGCTGACCTCTAATTCGCCATTATTTTGCTTTTCCTGCGCATGCGCTCCGTCCAAAGGAGACCTGTCGAGGTCGAATTGTAGGGGTTTTTCAGTTTTGTTCA